GAAGGAGAGTGGGAGAGAGAGAGAGAGAGAGAGAGAGATAAAGCAAACAAAAGCGAGAGAGAGAGAGAAAACAAACAAAAACAGGAGAGAGAGAGAGGGATATCAGTTTAGAGAGAGAGGCTATATATAGAGAGAGAGAGAGGGGGAAGTAAAGAAATATATATATATATATACATACATACTATATATATAGAGAGAGAGAGAGAACAATAGCATTCAGGAGCGACAGGGAAAGAGAGACACAGAGAGGGATAGAGAGACATGCGGACATGCGGACAGGCAGACGCGCGGACAGCCAGCCAGCCAGCCAGCCAGCAAGCCAGACAGGCAGTCATATAATATAGAGACCGAGGTGGGAGGGAGAGAGAGAGAGAGAGAGAGGGGGGAGAGAGAGAGAGAGAGAGAGAGAGAGAGAGAGAGAGAGAGAGAGAGAGAGAGAGAGAGAGAGAGAGAGGAGAAAAAAGAGAAGAAGAGAGAGAGAGATAACAAAAAAACAAAGAAAACGAGAGAGAGAGAGAGAGAAGACAGAGAGAGAGAGAGAGAGAGAGAGAGGGGTCAAAAGTAGGGCTTCGCATTGATGGAAAATACAGTAATACGACTTAGAGTAGAATGGGCCCAGTGAGAGATATAACGATAATTCACAACGAGGAGAGAGGTAGCGAGGGAAAGAGAGAGAGAGAGAGAGAGAGAGAGATACAGAGAGAAAGAGAGAAAGAGAGAAATAGAGAAAGACAGAAAGAGAAACCAACAAGCAAATCAAGGAGAGCCAGGGGGGGAGCGAGAGAGAGAGAGAGAGAGAGAGCCAGGGGGGAGAGAGAAGGACAGAGGGAGAGGGGGGGCCAGAGAGAGAGAGGGAGAGTGAGAGAGAGAGAGAGGGGGAGAGGACAGAGGTAGAGAGAGAGAGAGTAGAAGAGAGGGGGAGAGAGGTAGAGAGGATGGAGAGAGCGATAGATAGAGAGGGCAGCACATAATGATGCGGAGAAAAAACATAGCGATACTGAAGGAGAGATAAGAGAGGTATAGAGAGAGATGGAGAGAGAAAGAAAGAAAGAGAGAGAGAGGGGAAGAAACAAAACTGAGGGAGACGCGGAGAGAAGGAGAGAGACGGAGCGAGAGAGAGAGAGAGAGAGAGAGAAGCAGAGATATTGGACAACGAATAGAAAGCGAGAGCGCGCGCCCCGCGGAGCAATCGCGTCTTGCCAGGCGGCGAGGGGCCGCGCCCCGCCCTGGCGTTACCCCGATTCCTACTTGTTTGATTTTCCACGCCGCCCCCGTCGTCGCGGGCGGCATGGAACATCGAAGGGCGAAAGGGATTTCGGCCCAGTGGCCAAGGATGCCCCGATCAAATCTACGCGTGCACTTCGAGAGAACAGCGCGGCGACTGCGGCGCGGATGACGCCCGCCATTCTTCGCGCAACCGCGCCGGAGAGTTCTTCGCCTGGGCGAGTCGGAGAGCGAGCCCATCGCGACGCAGAGCGGGGCTGGCACTGGCGTGGAAGACTCGAACAGGTCGGCAGTCTTCCAGGGGGCCTCTGCGACGCCGACCAGGCAGTGGCAGGGGCGCGCCTCGGGCGAGCCGCCCCCCGGCGACGAGTTTGGAGATGAATCCGCAAGAGCGATCGCCGGCGACGCGGGCGAGGGCTACTGCAGTCGCGGAGGCTTCCGACCCTGCGCCGAACGCAGCGTTGCGCAGCGCCCGCGCGTCGCGCAACCAGGGGAACAAACCCGCCCCTTCCGCGCCGCCTCAGCCCTGGCGCCGACGCCGCTTCCAAGCGCACGTTCTACGGCAGCGATTGAGTTATCCTTGGGCAGACGCTCAAGGAGGCACCCCGACTTCGGCGCGATCTTCGCCAGAAGTGGGGCCCTCTCGCGGCCCCCAGCTGCGCGACTGGAAGGTCGCTCCACCAAGCGCGCTTGGAACTCCCGTCAGCAAAGGGGAATCGAGGATATCGCTTTCAGGGGCATGGAGATTGGAGCTGAGCTGCGACGTCGGGACTCGGACTCGTCTTCGGCGACGGCAGTGCCGCGAATTTGGGCCCGGTCGGTTTACGGCTTAAAGCGCGCGATGTGACGGAGCGGCGATGCGAGTCGCAGTTGGCGACGGTAGAGGAGTCGAGCGCGAGGTTGTCAAGGCCCCGCCGCCAGCGCCTTGCTGTCGCAGTCGCGGGATGGCACCAATGGGCGTCCAGTTGCGGGCCCAGCGCATCGCAGAATTATTGAATAGGGGCGCGCGATTTCCAAGGAGTCTCGACACCGCCCTCCCTCCTTCTGCCCCCCCGGATTTTGGCCGGCCGCAGTGGCGTAGAATTCCCGCGCGCGTGTACTCCGGCGCCCCCCTGCCGCTCGCCCTTCTCCCTCCTTCCCTTAGTCGAAGTGCAGGAGATAGCGTCAGTATCAGCATGCAGTGAGTGCGGATGCCTTGCCTGCCGCCGCCGTTTGGTTCGCAGTACGGGTCCAGAGTGATTGTATTATGTGTGCATGCATGAGGTAAAAGTACGATTTCTTCTCGTCTTGCCATCGCCAGGCTGGCGCCGACCCCGCCGAGGTCAATCGACCGTGGTAGCGGAGCTGCGGCTCCTCCACGGCATATGCGCGCTTGATATCACTGCGCGACAGATTGGACTTGGTGATTCACGTTAGTCGCTATGATGCAGGTGCCTAGCATGAACAATGCTCAGGCAGCTGGCTTTGGTGGCGTGGCGGATCAGACGAGCACCATGGGCGCGATGAAGGTGCCTCCGGCGTGGGGCTCGAGATGGCAGCGATTCTACCCTTTCAAGACATGGGCTCGCAACGTGGTCTGGTGGGCGCTGGCATGTGATCTACCAGAGACCGCTCAGGGTGCAGCGGTTATCTTACGATTAGGTGGGGTGGCCAGGGAGTTGTGCAGCACCTTGGACCTTCAGACAGTGCGCGACGGTGGCATGAGAGATCTTCGTGGCGGATTGGGGCTGCGCCAGGTGACAGGCTTGGCAATCATACTGCGTGGGCTTCAGCGACAGTTCGCCCCGCTGGACGTGGAGACCTCGACTTCTTCGATTGCGGAGTTGATGAGTTTCAAGAGAATGCCTGGCGAGGACATCGATGCGACATTGGGAAGGTTCTCCAGCCTTCAGTTTCGAGCAGCAGCGGATGGCAATCTGGATATTGGGCCGAGTGGGTTCGCATGGCTACTACTGAGTGGATTGCGCACTCCACCGGCTGAGTGGGTGAATCTGCTGATGGGTTTTCGTGGCAACCTTCCCGACGCAGAGGAGCAGTTCAATGACTGATATCACCTGTGCCCCGAGTCGGACATGTACATCAGCACGGAGGTATAGCGGCATCGGCAATGCCTGGTGGACATGGCGGCGGACAAGGACCAGGACTATCACAGCGAGGACACGGACAGGGACAATACTTCTTTCCGACGATGGCGGCTGCGCTTGGACAGACATGGAGCCAGAACGACAGCTGGAGCACGGGAGCGCTGACGATGGGCGGCGTTCCGACACCAGCATCGACGACTTTCCCGATGACGACGGCGCAGTTCTCTCACGGTATGTACGCGACACAGGAAGAGCATTACTACCTTGATGAAGACAGCAGCAGCGCGACCAGCGGCGACGAGATACCACCGCAGGAAATGGAGGCCTACCTGTCAGGCTTGGACGCCACCCTGAGGGCCGATACCTTATGGCACAAGTATATGGTGGCGAGACGCAGATGGAGAACTTTCACCAAGAAGCACACCAGGTACGGTCGGAGTAAGCGACGGAACAAAGGACGAGGAAAAGGTAAAGGTCACTCCCTTTCTGGTAAAGGTTTCGCTGGTGGCAGCCAACCGCAGGCCTGGAATAATAACTTTTATGACAGTGCGCAGCTGGGCTACCCGACGCCGTCGCAATTTGCAGGCTACAAGGGGGGGAAAAGAAAGCGTCGAGGTAATCCCAGAGGAGCAGTAATACAATGACATGCCACCGATGCGGCTCAGACCAGCATCTCATTCTCGAATGCGCACCGACGGAGGCGGACCACACCAGTCGTATGTGGGATCAATGTACACACCTCGCACCGGCCTACTCGCAGGAGCCCAGCTGCCGCCGGCTCAGGTGAGCCATCCCAGCGGACCGGCAGGCATCTTCATGACGACAGAGAGCACGGATGATCAGGAACAGCTCGACAGTCATCACTGGTCGGCGGTATCGGTACACGACGATGACAACCCATGGACGAGCTCGTCGATATGGCAGAACAAAGGTGCTATGCGAGCTAGCCCCATGGAGCACGATCAGACGGCGCATCAGAGCAAGACGGCATCATCATCAGTATTCGGACGGTACCGCAGCGTGTTCGACGATCACGGCCAGGATCCCGCCCCAGCAGATCGCGATCACGGACGACAAGCTCACGGACGACAATCGCCAGCACAGGATCAGGTACGTCATGATTGGGATCAGCAGCGGCACCGCAACGATCACGAAGCACGGCAGGCGCGTTCAAAAGGAAAATGGAAGAAAGGCAACAAAGGAAAAGGTACTTGGAGGAGTGGGTGTGAAGACTACGATAATGATTGTGAATACGAAGAATATCCTCGGGAGGAGCGTCGCTCAGAACGTCGGGATCATCGTGCCAGCAAGCAGAACGTGCGCGACCTCACGGCCATTCTCTCTCTCGGCAGCTCAGATGCGGCATCGCAGGTTCGTCGCGACGATAACGGCATGCAGCAGGCAGAAGTTCAGCATCCATTCGGAGGTGGAGATCGTTCCGGAGTACGGCCCCGCCCAGAACAGAAGATCATCGCCAGAACTTCGCAGATCGTCTCGCCGACCTACGAGCAGCACAGTATTCAGGTGGCTCGGGAGCGCCGAGGTACATGGCATACCAGAACGAGATTGGGACCGCGACGCGAAGGGCTGCTGGTTGATCCTGGGGCTCATGACAATCTCACCAGGTCTGAGTGGGCTCGACGGCATCAGGGATTAGCACAAGAAGCATGAGTTCAGGTACAATACAGGCGCATGCCCGAGGTGCTGAATGTCGAGGGTGTTGGCAATGGGCGGCAGCAGTGCACGGAGTTCGGACGGGTTCCCATCGCCTTGCCAGCGCAGGAGCACGAGACCGAAGGAACGCCAGCGGTGTACACGGCACCGGTGGTGCCCAACTCAAACATACCGGCACTCCTCGGACTGCGACCCTTCCGACAGTTGCGGACGGTCTTTGACATCGTGAACAACAAGAACCATTTCCTGGGACCAGGTGACGCCACCTTTCAGTTACCGCCTGGGACAAGGCCATGCGATTTGGAGGGGGCTCCGAGTGGACATCTCATGCTTCCAGTCAGCGAGTTCCAGCAGCTGGGAAGCAACCGCTCGGGGAACGGAGCGTCGCCTACATCGGTCACGACGCTCAACCTCTACCACCACAATAGCCAGTGATGGGGCGGCGAGGCGGGCCACCAGGGACCGCCGCGACCTGGATCCAGTCCCGCCTTGACCGAGACGGCGAGCGGCGTTACCGAGGCAGCCTCGGTGGCGAAGCGGCCTGGCGACGACGACGTCAGGACTACATCCACGGGGCAGCCTACAGTGGAACCTCCGTTAGCGCGGTCAGATACTTGCGACGTTGGCGACGAGGCGCTCAGACATGCTGGTCAGAGCAAGGTTTCACAGAATCCACATAATTCTCAACATGTAGACATCACTGGTGATGAATGCGCTGGCGCAGGACCTCCCGAACACGCTGGACATCGGCCTCCTTGTCGTGAGGAGCCTGGTCTTCAGTATCTTCGCGACGGACACGAGTGTCAGTCAAGTTATCAGTTGGCAGGCGAGGGGTCTGCTCATTCTAAGTCGTTACCTCAGCGCTTGGTCTACGGAGCTTGGCTCATGGACGATATCGACTCTATCCGTCAACAAGCTTTGCATGAATGTGGACGCAGACACGGACATCATATCCATGCCACACATTACGACACTAGGAACCTGATGAGTCTCAATCGATTGGAGCGGATCATTGGCGAGGCGGTCAAGTTCAAGCCCGATCTTGCATGGATTGCGTTGACCGGAGCACCCACCTCGTCGATCAACAATCGAGAGCGACTGCGCGCGTGTACTGTAGCTCAAATTGTCATGGAGGCAGTCGATCTCAAGGTCAACCTGATCCCGGAGGGTTGTGCGCGGAACATCATGTGGGAGACGAGTGGACTGGTCAGGCTGGATAGTATATCCGAGATTCATTCGCAATCGATACGATGGTGCAGACTCGGAGTTACCTTTCTGGAAAAGGACGACTTCCCGCCGGCCAGCACAGCAAGATCATGGGCACCCTGAAGTTTCCAGATTGGAACGCTTGCAATCATGGTTAGCATCACCACGAGGCAGAGTGTCACACTGACATGAGTGAGATGCACGAGGCGCGCTGCGACATGGTCAAGGCTCTGACGGAGTTTGTGTGGCAGCAGATTATCACGGCGGACAGCGCCAGCGGCGGGGAGACCATACTCAACGCTACAAAGTCTGACGGTCACATGGAGATGTTACCAGAGTCGAATCCCCTTGCGAAGTCGGAGACTCTCACGCTGATGAGTTCGAAGACGGTCAGTTTCAACGACTCGGTCGAGATATACCCTACAGAGGCGAGGATAAGACAGAAGGCCAAAGAGAAGCATATCAATATTCAGAACGCGGCGTCAGGACGACCTCAGAAGACCAAGCAGCGCAACATGAAGGGCTACGAGAAAGTATGGAGTGACTGCGGCGACGACATGAGCTCGATAGACCTGGAGATCACGGATATGTGTCTGGACTACGACACGTCGCTTCTCGTCGGCCATCGGTGGCAGCCAGATGGCGTGGATCATGAGCGTGATTTGGGATCGAGCATTACACTTCACCAACGCAGTTGGTCTTTGGTACGGATCGTATGTACCAGATCCAGGATTCCTCAATCGCAGCTTGGCATATTCATCAATCAGTCAGTTATTGGGATGTTGGTTGGCCGACGCCGAATTATACAATTTTACTGACATTATGGAGATCATGGGAGGCGAAGCTCGAACCACCAAGATGCTTCTACGACGGACACATCATCAGGGACATCACGTCGGGCGCAACTTTAATCTTCAATGTGGCATCGATCTTTCCAGTGATAATATTAGACACGATATGTGGACGCACACGATGAACTGCAAGCCTATCGTGATCGTGATGTCGCCTCTCTGTCAGGTCATGGCCGGCTGGGCCACCTTCAATCGCATCATGAATCCCGAGACGCATGAGGCATCCAGACGCATTTCAGAACCTCTTGGTCATCTATGCTGTGACGTGGCTCAGTTTCAACTTGATCACGGGCGTCACTATGTCGTGGGGCAGCCGACTGGATCAGATCTCTACCAATCCCCAATATGGCTAAGAGTCAGAGGTCATCCCGACACGGCCGAGGCTATCATGCATCACTGTCATGCAGGATTTCGGTGCCCAAGATCAAGACTTCCAGTACGGAAGTCATCTCACTTCATTGCAAGTTGCGAAGCATGGATCCATCCGATGAAGCGATTGAGATGCACTGGATCTCAGGCCTGTGTCAAGCATCAGCACATCGACGGCGCGATTTCCAAGAAAATGCAGGTGGCCATGGAGACTCGCCGAGCTTATCGCTCAAGGAGTGGCATGTGTGGAGCGAAGAACGTGGAGACAGGATCCGACACGAAAGAATTTGGCTACCTATTACCCCGACATGGGCACAGGAGCACGTGATCGAGATGCCGATGATGATATTTTACCGAATCCCACCGCGGCCTCGTCGACTTCAGCACCATCGACAGCTACGTCAACGACTCCAGCAGGTGGGCCCACGGCAACTGGCGCTCCAAAGTCGCGGGCGAAACCAGTGACGAGAGGTGAAAATGAACATTGTCCTGCATGCCATAATAATCGTTCGGCGCATGATCCTCGACATATTCGACGTGGAAGCTGCAAGTACCCTCAGGCACAACCGTTGGGAGGAGAGTGTCCTGGTTGTCGCGCCGGAAAGCCAAGAGGTCATTCCATGCATACAGGCGAAGAGGTCATTCCATGCATACAGGCGATGACAAATGCCGATGGCAGATGGTTCCTTCTCGTGGTTTAGCAGTCGGTGGAGTTTTACCCAGACAACCTAGAGTTCGACGAGTTGATCCAGATCCCTCAAGTGCTGAGCGATCGGGAGGCAGTTTGCGTGAATAGCAGCACCGCCAGCAGTCGAAGGTGGTGAACGAGATGGAGATGCAGACGACGAAGGTGAAGATGGAGCACCACCTGAGCCAGGACAAGATGCAGCTGTCCCGGAGCTACCTGCACCTCCACCTCCTGGAGCTCATCCTGCAGGCAGACCACTGGCAGCTGATCGACGCAATCGGGCCGCAACTCGGATAGAGGCAGGGACGCAAGCGGATCCTGGAGGCGCCGATTGGTCAGACTTGGTCAGCCGGTCGAGCTCTGCGACTACTCAAGTCTATGGATCCGGCGGTGGTAAGGAGGACGATTCGGAAGTTACATATCCGACTGTGGCATGCGCCGACGGCGAGAGTGGTGGAACTACTCAAAGCTGCGGGCGCACCGAGCTAAGCCACCGACATGGTATCGCAAGTTGCGGACACGTGCCCAGTATGTCGACAGTGGCAGAGCGTCGGTGTGAGGCCAATGGTGAATCTGAAGGTACTCTCGGATTTCAACATCGAGGTCGAGGTGGACTTGCTGTTTTGGAGCACACACACACAGTTCTTCATCTGGTGGATGCGTGCATTCGTGGGTCGGCCGCTATTATCATTGCTAGTCGCGTCACGCAGGACATCCTGAACGGCATCGCGCATGTGTGGCTGCGGCTCTACGGACCCATGAAGCGGCTCACCAGCGACAAGGAGGGCACTCTGGACAGCGAGTTTGCGTCTTCGTGGGCAGAGAGGTGGGGAATGCAACTCAACTTGCGACCACGAGGGTCCTATGCGAGAGTTTTGGAGCGACACAATGCACTGTTACGTGACGCAGTCCATAAGATCAATTCGCAGATGGAGAGAGATGGAATAGCAGTTACACCACAAGCTGCACTCGACGAAGCGATTCTTGCCAAGAACAGCATGATCAGCATCCATGGTACCACTCCCTACAGGTCGTTGTACGGGAGATCACCAGCACTACTTCGAGATTTCGAACCTGGATCGGAGACTCCACTGTCGGATGGTCGAGATGGCATAGATGGAGCATCTCGACGTGTGCACCGATTGCGCGAAGTCGCGATGTCAGCCATCATCCAGGGCACGGTCACGGATCGTTTGTCTCGAGCGATGAATTCGCGTACCAGGCCAGCAGGAGAAGTAGACATCCATCGAGATCCACCCAACAAGGATCTCAGCGGCTGGCGAGGACCCGCTGTGGTTACGGATGTCACTCGGTTGCGAGATGGAGTAGTTGGAGTCCGTTGGCAATGTCGCAACATGCAAGTACGCCTCCAAGAAGTGCGACGAACTGTGGTATTGTGGACGTTCATGACGGAGCCGCACGCACAGGAGTCGATCCGGACACCGATCGAGTACATCATGAACTTCGCAGAGAGTATCGAGCAAGGGTCTTTGTATTTCGGATGCGTGCTTTCTAGTAAACACGGCTGGATGATCAGCAAGGATGGCCAACGATTTCCAGGACCGATGCGAGCAGCTTTTTCGACGGCAGCGTGTCATTTACAGCTTGTTGGCTGCATCGGTATTCGAGTCAGACACGGTGTCAACTATATCGAAGCTGTTCCCGGTACCGAAGGTGCAGTGATTATGTGGTGGCATCTTGGGCGTCGAGAAGATTGGTCATGGATTCAGATTCCAGGCAGTCAACGGATTTCGACACAATACTTGTTCGGTGACAGCTGGCCCAACACGCCATTCACGCAGTTTGCCTTGGTACCGGATGATGAAGCCAGACAAGCACGACGACAATTTCCTGGAGTATCACACGTTGGAGGCATGGATGACACTTTCGACCACAATGAGGACTACATCAACCACATATGGAATGAAATCAAGAGGTCGCGATCGTTCGATTCTGATGACAGTGGTAATCCAGCACCTCACCTTTCTCGACGTCTCGAGGATGACGCACCAACCCTGAAGAGACAGTTATCGCCACGCTCAGACGGAAGCGGCAATCCTGGACCGCATGTGTCTCAACGGCTAGACGACGAAGCACTTGATGAACAGTATGAAGGAACAGAGAGTGAGGATTATTTCTGGTATGGCTTAAATGAATTGTCGAGAGGTCCAGATATCATCTCATATGGCAGCGCGCTTGCGACGACCAGCTTGAACGAGGATGAATCACGGGGACTTGTTGGAGCTTGCCATGAGTGCGGATGCTGCGTTCCAATGTTGTTGTGACGAGGTCCTCGAAGGATATGTTGCCGCTCATCGACAGAATGTTGCTGGATGCTATGTGGAAGCAGCCATCGAACGAGAGATGAACATTCTCACGGAAGAAGAGCTCAAGAAATGTGCGCGCGACGTTGCTGAAGCATGCTTGCTAGAACTGCGACGATGGTGCAGCATGGGCATGTTTACGAGACTGTCGAGACGAATTGCGACGAATCCGGTTGACAGTCGTTGGGTTCTCAAGTGGAAGCTCATCGGGTGCGTTCGAAAGATCAAGGCCAGACTTGCGGTGCGTGAATTCAAAGATCGACAAGCATATTCTCTTACCACATTCGCAGGTGCGGCATCAAGATGGGGACAGCGAGCTGCGTGTTCGATGGCAGCACTTTATGGGTGGAAGCTGTGGCCCACGGACATCTCAATGGCTTTCTTGCGCGGGAAGACGTTCAAGCAGATTGCGAATGAGACGGGGGCCAAGTTGAGATCCATTCAATGCGACTTACCGGCTGGAGCGAATGCGCTACTTCGTCAGATCGAAGATTTTCACGACTTCAGTGAAATATCCGAGGTATTGGACATGAATATGCCAGGTTTCGGTACGAACGATGCGCCATGGTCTTGGAGTATGGCATTGGCGGAGACGATGATTGGGGCGCAGTGGGCACCGTCTCGAGCAGACAAGAAGCTGTACGCGAAGCGTAGACAGGCTACAGAGCGAGACAGTTACTGTCCCATTAAGGGTAAGAAGTATACGACGAAAGACAAGATACCGTTGGGAATTCTGGCCACTCACGTAGACGACTTCAAAGAAGCTTGTGAAGACAGAACCATAGTAAAGTTATTGCAGCGACTGGAGGTCGAGTACGGCAAATGCGAACTGAACGAGACCACCCTCGAGTGCGTTGGCATCAAGCACGCTCAGAATCCGAAGACGATGGAATGCACGATGGACCAGAGTCACTACGTCAGCCAGCTGAATGCAATCCCCATGGAGAAGGTCAAGGATCTGAAAGATGACGAAAGAGCGAACGACGAGCTGGTGAGTCTGTACATGTCATTGCTGGGCGGAGTGGCTTGGATGGTTCTCACGCGGGAAGATATCATCGTCTTTGTGGGTAAGCTGCAACGGTGTATGAAGAATGTGACAGTAGCCAACGTGAAAGACTTGAACAAATCATGGAAGTGGATTAAAAGGACGACGGCCGCGATTCATCATGGCAAGAGGATGGCGCCTTTATGTCCTACAGTGATTGCGGACAGCGCGTATCGAGCTGACGATGTTGATTGTCTAGCACTGCGAGCAGCGATCTGGACTGTGTGAACTAAGAGACGGAGCACCGTCTGGTGGACTACATGTGTGGGAGTACTTTGCTCGTTGAGCTCATCAACGCCATTGAGTCTACAGAATATGGCATGTTGCTGAACGGGTTCCTGATCGAATGGTTGCAAGGTGTTCAGACGTCGGTTGAAGTTCATTCAAGAATGGTTGGTCCGTGCAATGTAGAACTACACTTGGTTCTGGACGCACACTCGGTGTACGTTGCGGTGACTGCGCAGGAGATATCGACACCTACTGAGCGACAGTTACTTTACGGCATTCAAGCATTGAGAGAGCATCTCGGATCACGACGGTTGTTTGTATTACATCGTGTGGACACAAGGGACATGTTGCGCGATGCTCTGACAAAAGGTAGCATCAGCAGATCTACGTTACTGGAGGCGTTCAACAAGGGCCAATGGATAATCACCGTGAAGGAACAATTGCATACATGGCGGTATCGTGGTACTTCTGGATGATGTGTGTTCTTTCTTGCGTAGCCATCAAGAGTCAAGAAGTTGGTTCAAGCAGATTGGGTGCGCAGAGTTGTGAACATCATCTACTTCAGTGACGGTGTTCACGAGATTTCCGGGCACAGCTGTCTACTCACAACGACAACTCGGAGATGCTACCAGAGTCGAAGTGCAGGAGATGGCATCAGCATCAGCATACAGTGAGTGAGGATGCCTTGCCTGCCGCCGCCGTTTGGTTCGCAGGACGCGTCCAGAGTGATTGTATTCTTTGTGCATGCGTGAGGTAAAAGTACGATTTCTTCTCGTCGTGCCATCACCAGGCTGGCACCGATCCCGCCAAGGTCAATCGACCCCCTTCTGACTTCGCCTCTCGCCCTCGAGCGTCGCGCGCCCCCCCCGTCGCGCGCGGCCCCCCCCCCCCCCCCCCCCCCCCCCGCGAAGCGCGGCAGATCTACGCGCGCACGTCCACAGCGCCGTAGCGCAGACTCCAGGGCGGACGCCGTCACAGGCGGGGCCCAGCTCATGCCCCGCGCGCGTGCCCATGGTCTGTCGCAGCCTACGGCATGTCCTGACATGGCCTGAAGCTCTGAAGCTGGAACAGGAGTAGCATGCCGGGCGCGACCGATTCTCCTGAAGCCGCTACGCCATTCCCCACTGCGCGAATCCAGTCTTGGGTGTGTCACTCCGAGAAGGGCATAGAGTACGTGGTTGCGTCGGAGGGCAAGATCGTCGACGTGCTGGACAGCGACTGCGGATTTCTCCCCGACGACGAGAGCCACGCTAACAAGGCAGTCTTCCTCTCGGGCGTGCGTCGGTTTCTCTGGGAGTGGATCATTCGCGCGAAGGGCGCCGCGAACGTTGCGGAGCCCCCGGGGCGCCGAGAAAACGCCGTCGGAGATTCTGGGAGCTACGCGACAGCGCGGGTCTGCTAGGCGGAGAGATGTCTCATGCGCCGGACCATCTTCGCTCGTCGTAGAGGAGCGGATGGGGGGGCGGCGCGGCGGTCAAAATCGCTCGGGGGCCATTGCCATCGCGAGTCGGAGCTTGGCCTGCGCATCTACTTTAATTGGTCGGCCAGTAGCTGCGGGCCACTTCCACAATTCGAGTTTGCCGGCCAGCGTCGAGTCGACGCGTCGCCTTGCTGCCGCTCCCGCATCCAAATGGACGCTCGCGTCTGCCCGCCTTGCCGCGGTCTGGAGCCATCCTAGAGGTCGGGGGACCTGCTTGCAG